AGAAATCTAGTTCTGTAGGGTTGGGATAGCAAATGTGAATCACCTAGTGGTGGCATTATCTAGTTTAATTTCCTCCTAGCAGAGACAGCCAGGCCTTAGCCTCTGCTCGAGTCTGCAGGAGGGACGAGGAGGGATGCCAGATGAAGTTCTTGGCTGTGCCTCTCTCAGGTATTTGAAAATCACATAAGAAGTGAGACCCATAAGCATTGTACAGCCAGTTCTATAATCAAGCCTAGCTCTCTCTCTGTCACTATCCATTGAGTCCTTTTTATACTCTCTCCAAGTATCACATGTCCTCCACATGTCTTGCCTCAGCACGTGCGTCTGTCTTAGCTGTCATCACTCTGCCAATCAGCCCAAGTTCATAGAAGTGGCAAAAAAGCAGAGGCACACCACCAGAAGTTTTTTGGTGCCTCTCTCTCTATGGAGTCCCGACAAGTGCAGCTCAACTACACAGTGTAAGGTGGACCAATACATGTATGTTGTTAGCAAAGAATCCTTCATCATATGTCTTTTCACGGGCTTGCTAAATTTAGCATAACATCCTTTCTCCTGTGTCTGTTTCAGCAAAACGTTCCTTCACAAGTCTGCCTTAGTCTTTTACCTGTGTCCACTTCAGGAAAACACTCCTTCACATGTTTGCCCCAGCAAAACACCATCCAACACAACTGACTCTGCAAAGAACCCTTAAGTTTCCATTTCACGCCATCTCTTTTTCTCTGCTGGTTCTGTCTGTATTCCAGGCTGGACTCCAGGTACTGGGTCCTGAATGGAGGTAGTAAGTGAATCCCAGACCTAGGGGCTATGTTGTTGGGAGGCTTTCTGGGATGGCATCACGTGACTTTGGAGAACCAGAGACCAAGGTTAAGCTGACTAGGGGGGAGGGAGGAGCCAGCTTGAAGGGAGCAGCCACAGGGAGACTTGAGTGGGAAGGCACAGGGCCAGCACTGAGTGCCATTCATTTGTCCACGTGGCCGGGCAGAAGGTGAGGGCTTAAGCAGGATATAGGAGAGCTGGATTTCAGGGGTGTCAGGTTATGGTGTTCTTGGGATGCTGAGTGTATAAAGGGTAGATACATATGTGCAGTATATTCTCTTTAGATGCTCACAGTTCATATTCATGGTTTGAAGATGGATGATAAGCACTTTTGGTCACTCGCCTTTTCCAGCCCAGATCCTGGTCCTGAATCTTGCTTGCTTTTTTCCCCTTAGTTTACTTTCCCTGTGTGTTTCCTTATTGGTGCCTTTCTGGGTTTGGTGTGCTTTGGGGCTTTGTCAAGTGGGCTTTCCTACCACAGGGGTCTGATGCGCTGCCTTCGTTCTTGATCTGATGCCTGTTGGTGTGACACGGAGCTGTCATGCTTTAGCTGTTCCTGCCATCTGTTCTGCTGTGGGCATACTAGGGCTACTCTTCCCTGGCACCACCACTCCTGTTACTGAGCCCCACAAAGGTGCCCAGAGGCTCTTAGGGCATGGAGGAGGTGTGCTTCCTGAAGTCTCCTCAGCTGTTGTTCTGATTGAGATTGTATATCCACTGGGTGAACATGGGGGAAATCCATATTCCTGTCATTCAGTCTTCAATCTTTGTATCTTCTGTCCCGTTCTCCAATAAAGCCCTGTGCACTTTCCCATAAAAGTCCTATGCATTGTTTCTTAAAACAAAACATAAGAGCATTTTTGCTATTATCAGTGGCAGGGTTCCAAATATTAAGTTTTTTCCAAGTGTTTGTTGCTGGTATGCACACTTTTTTTTTTGTGAAAATCAAAATCTGAAGTTCTTTCTTAATTTAATGTTTTGTTTCTTAACTTTATAGATACGGTAACTTTCATATACACAAAAGAGATATAGCGATGTAGTAGCCCCTTACTGTCCCCTTGTCCCTTGTCACTGCTGCCTCTTCTGATTAGTTGGTCAGGTCTCACTTGAACCCTGCACGTGTCCTTGTGGTCAGTGCCAGGCAATGCCACTCAGCAGCCACGTGCTGAGGCAGGTGCTGAGCTCTCGGGATTGCTGTGGGTGGCGGGCCTGCAAACCACACATCCTGAGCCTTCTGGATCCACACACACCTCCGTCATTTTCCCTTTTGCCCTTGAAGTTTATTTGTTGAAGGAGCCAGCTTTTCCCGTGGAGTGTAATTGAGTTCATCCCCAGCCATTTTGCTGAAGTCTTTCTTATGAATTGCAGTAATTTGTCCGTGAGATCTTTTGAGTTTGCTGTGAGCATGTTTGTGAACAGGGCAGTTTTCTCTTCCAGTGGTTTCACCTGCTCATGTTTTCCCCTCTCCCTGAGCTGGCTGGGGACTGTTTTCTGACATGTGGACCCTCATGTGGCCCTCAGTAAGCCATTAAGTCACAGTGAGTGGACAGTGATTAGTCTCATTGAACCTCACGGCTTAGCTGGAGGTGCTCCGAGTCCTCACTGGACAGTAGATACGGGTAGGCTGTCTAACAACGCACCATCTGTCCTGTGCACTCATTGCTTGTGTAGACATGGAAAAGTGCAAAGTTACAAACATCAGCTCTGCCAGGTCCCCTGGTGAGGCATGCTGGAGCCACACAGTGCATGCCACCAGGGGACTGTGCCACACATTACCAGCCCAAAAAAGGCCACCATTCAAAATCCCAAGTGCATGAGTAAAGCTGCACCATGGATCTGTCTTTCAGCTATAAGGCCACCATGAGACATGTCACCTTGTCACACTGTCGTAACATAGACACCTGTTGGGGACTGTCTCTCCTCTGAATTCATAAAGGGAAGCATGTGTGCTCCTTGAACCTTCCTGAGACATTGCTGTATAACGGTTTTGCGCATGAAAGCAGTTTGACTTCAGTCAGTCTTCCAAGCTGCGAAAAGCCACTCCTGTATTTTTGTTCCTTCTCGTGGTAGTTTAAAAATGTGTTTGTTTCACCCAGACATTCAGATTTATTGAAGTAAAGATTCTACACTGTGCCTCTCCTTGCCAGTGTCCACAGGTCAGCACTGCCGAGAGCAAGTGTACAGCTTCATTCTGACCCCGGTGCCCCTGCTGTGTCTCTTGGCAGCTTGGTTTCACCTAAAGATGGGACCAGGTAGACCCTATCCCTGAGGCCTTGCTGGGTGACTGCTCCCCTCCAGGCACAGCCAGGGCTACAGAGAATGGTTCTGCTGGTATTTTGTTTCTTTTGAAACATGGTCCACACAGGGTTTGAGCCTCTTTCCTCCCACCCCTGGGACTTGTGCTTGCTACTGTTGGCTCCTGAGGTCACTGTTTCTCCCAGCTTCTTTACTGAGTTAGAGTTGTTACATCTTTGTTCGGTAATCAATATTTCCTGATTCCTGTTGTGATTTTTCTCTTTGACCCAGGAATTATTTTGAAGTGGATTTCATCATTTCCAAGAGTGTTTGTCTTCCCAGATGTCTTTTAAAAATGTTTTTAAAGCAAACGAGCCTGGCCATGATTCCTTCAGCAAGCACCTGCCATGTAGAGGAGTTGGTGTTTTCATGTGGGAGTTGTTGGGGATGTCTAGTGTTCCTGGGTCTGCCTTCTTGTGCTGCCTTCTGTCCTGGGTGGCTTGGGAAGGCTCTTGTAGGGCTGGCCCTAGAGTTGGGGGGGGGGTCTTCCAGGCAGGAAGGCGGGAATACATACATGGATCTGGAAGGGAGGACAGCGCCATTTGCTACTGACACTGCAGTCACTTCATACACAGACAGTCATGTGTTACCTCAGCGTCCTCAGCATGCCCACCCCAGTTCTCATGTAGAGCCTCCTCGGACAGCAGGCTGCAGACAGGTGCTTGCAGTCTCTACAAAGCGGCTCTGTCCTAGCATACACCACCCCTGTCAGCTATGATGTGCTGAAAGGCAAGCCTCTGGTTTAGAGAAGGTAAATGTAGTATATCTGAGGACCCAAGAGCACTAGTACCTATGTCTACAAACGTCATTACAATACATGAAATTTAAGACACATTCTCTCTTTGGCCCATATCTGTGTTGGGCCCACTAGGACTGGAGCTGGGGAGAATTGCCACTCTTCTGCACTGGATGGTCCCTCAGCCCTGCTGTTGAAAAAGTGAGATTTTAGAGCACGGTCCAGTAGAATGTGTGAGTCTGTGCTGGGGTGTTGTAGTGGTTTGTCCCTGGGTCACATCTAAGGGTCTTGATATAAAGACTTTGTCTAGCTTGGGACCAACTTTTAGAAGAACTGTGGTTCACAGAGTAGTCTGGAGCATGTGACATTCTGAACACAGTGCTAGCTTTGAGCCCAGTGAGGATGGGAGGCAGAGTGGTCAGGGAGGGCTTCCTGTAGGAGTTGGTCCTGGCTAGTGCCCTGGCTCTTTCACTTCAGAACCCGCAGAGTGGGCTAGTGACAGGGCTTGGGCTGTTGGTATGTAATTGAGGAGGCACAGGTGTGCATTGAGACCTGAAGTGGTGGCCTGGACGGGCATCCCTTCTGCTAACGAAGGCCTGTCTATGTGCCCCAGGGACACTGGCCCTCATGAAGGTCAGGCTTCTTCCCAGTGGGGCTCCAAGGTACTTTATTCAAGGGTCTTTCAGTTTGGGCTTGGGAAGGCTCTGCTCTTGCCTTTAGGAAACCTTTGTCTCTATGGAGCCATCCCTTGGTAACAGATCCCCTGCCTCCAGGAAGATATGGTGTTGTTAGGAAGGGAGCTACTGTGGGGTGACAGGGAGTCCAGCGTGGACCCCTGTTCTGTGAGTGGGCAGGCTATGGTTCCTTAGTAGCTGTGGTGTGCTGCGAACACATTGCCTCTCAGCTGTCTGCCCTGCACCAAGAGCCAGAGAGGAGCCACAGCATTGCTCACCAGACACTTGACATGCAGCTGGCAGGCCTGTCAGGACGGTAGGCCTGTCCCTACCAGTCTACTCTGATGGTCACTATGAAGGCCAGGCTGGGACAGTGACAATGCAGCACCATGGCTTAGAAGTAAAGTGTCTTGCTGTCACCTAGCTAGAAGGTCTTGCACACAGGCCTCTAGACAGGTGGGGAGGGGTTGTGAGCAGGAATGGGTAACTGTGTCCTGACCTGGAAGATGCAGAAGAGGCTCTCTCTGAGCCCCCCCCCCACTTCCCAGGCCACAGACACCCACATTTTGATGTCTTTCCAGGGCCAGGGGTCTCTCCTGAAGACAGTCAGATACCAGAGCCCACCTTGTCTTCCATGGGCCCAAGGAAAGACACTGCCATTGGGCTCCATGGCTGGATGGCAGGACCTAGCACATCACTCATGCAAAAAAAAGAGGAAGCCCAACCTCTGCCTCCAGGAGACTAAGGTGCTGGTGTCTACAGTCATCAAGCACCACCGGCTGCTGTCCAAGTCAGGGCTGCTGAAGGCTGAGCCCACCCACAGGTGCCAGATGTGGAGCCGGATCCTACAGGCGCTGAATGCACTGGGCTACTGCCACCAAGATGTGGTGGGACCCGGAGCACAAGTGGGTAGACCTGTGTGCTGTTGTGTGGCACAAGCTGGGTCAGCTCTAGAAGGTGCCTGTTGGCCCAGGCTCTGGCTTCAGCTCTGGCTCACACCCATGGAGTGGGCGGTAGCTAGGATGTTCCTGTGCCAGGCCCTGCTCCCTGAGCGTTTCCGCCTGGAGCTGCCCATATGCGGCTTGCCTGCCGGGCCACTAGTCTGGCCTGTAGAAAGATGGCCCCACCTTAGCTGCCTCGCTTGCACCTTCCTTCTAGGTGACCCATCCTTGCCTTTTCTCCTCATTGTCCTCACTACCGCTGTAACCATCTGGAATGTTCTTATTCAGTCATTTTCTGCTCCAGTCACTCTCTCACTTGTCCATCCATCTGCTCACGATAGTTTCAAGATCTGTGACACTTGTGAACGACCGCCTGGCTACCTTTCAGCTTTTCCTTACCCAGTCCTGGACAGAACAGAGTGGAGACAGAGTTCCCTGCTGGGATCTCAGTCAATTGGGCTATGATATAAGATACATGTTAGCACACAGCTCAGACCCAGCCCCTTCAAATAGGGCTCTAACATCCTAGCCCCATCTGAGGTGCCGATGGTGTTCTGATCCACCCTTGCCATATAGAATGCTCAGTAACTTGCTGATTTGTCCTCAGAGCTGTGGTATGAACCATGCTATGCCGTGGCTTATTTAAAATAAAAAAAGATATGGGGCTTCACTGTGTGCTATAGGCTGGCCCAAACCCCTGGGTTTAGGTGACCCTCTCTCCGCAGCCACCCTGGAGTGGGAGGAACAGGTGTGAGCGATGCTGTTCTGGCTCTGTGTGCTTATCATCCTCAGCAGAGATGTCCTTCCTGGCAGGTCTAGCACTACAGCGTTGGGTGAGCGCAAGTGGGACCTGGAAGGTGGAGTCTACTGGAGCCACTCTTAGTCTTTCAGGCTGGGGTTCAGCACCTGACAGGTTTAGGAGGCCAACAGAGGCTAGTGCAGACTCAAGGCCCTGGAGCATACTAGGTGTGGGGCGCAGGCACCGGGGAGCCAGGCTGTTGTGTGGAGACATAGTTCCAGAGCTGGGGTAGCAGTAGATGAGCTGGCCAGGAGGTCTGCTCCCTGTGTGGGGTTCTGGCTGGAGGGGTGTGTGGCAGCTGGCCAGACGGGTCACAGCACTGGGGCCAGACTGGTTCCCGGAGCTCAGAGCTAGCTTGGGATGCCTGCTCAGATTTACACTCCCACCCCCCTGCCCAAGTGAGGACACAGAGAAGACTGAGATATCTCATGCCTGTGGTTGCAGCAAAACTGGCAGTACTTGAAAGGGGGTCTGGGCAGAGCTTGAGGCTAGCTCCTTTGCAGGTATTGTAGCAGCCTATTTTATATCCCCCCTCTCCCCCTGCCGCTACCCTCTCTCGCCCCCCTTCCCCCCTTCTTTCCTCCATCTATGCCCCCCTGTTTCTTTGTGTATGTGTATTCATTCAAGTGCATGTGTGTATGTGTATGTATGTGTCTGTATGTGTATGTGTGTGTGTGGGTTTATGTGCATACATGTGTGTTCATGAGCATGTGGAGGTATGAAGTTAAGCTAGGGTGTCATTCCTCAGGAGCCAGTCACCTTGTTTTTTGAAACAAGGTCTCCCATTTGGCCTGGAGCTTGCTGATTAGGCTGGCTGGCTGGTCAGTGAGCCCATCTGTCTCTACGTCCCCAGTGCTCGGATCACCAGTGCCCCTTCATACCTGGCCTTTCATGTGGTTTGGGGCATGGAGCTCACAGCCCTTGTGCTTGCACAGTGACCGCTTCACCCACGAGGCTGTGTCTCTAGCCCCTTACCGCGTTCCTTTATTGAGATAACGTTCAGGTATTGAAATTCGCCATCTTATCTCCTCTCCCACACTTTTCTTCCCTCCAGTCCTGCACATGCTAGGCACCTGCTGTAACCTGGGGTACACCTCCAGCCCTCTCCCCCTTTTCCAAATGCAAGTTTCATGGTTTTCAGCATCTCTTTCCCTTTGTCTGTTACCCCATCTAACTCCAGTACATCCCTGTGACCCTGGGACAGTCTGTACCTTTGGTAACTGGAGGTAGTCCCTCTCTCTGCTCAAACTCTTGACAGCCTGTAGTCTGTCTGCCTTGTCTTTGCTTCTGGTAGTTCCTCTGAATAGTACATTCCTGCTGTGTGCACATATGTCTTCTCTGCAACTTGGAGCTTTACTCCTCTATGGATGGAGGTTTGTCCTCCGTGGTCTTAGGAATCAGTGTGCCACTGGCTGTGTGGTGGTGCCTTCCTCTCTCTGACTTGACTTACTCTCATTCCTTCTGGATTATAGAGCTTCCTTGGTCTTAGTGTTATTCCTGCACCCTGACCTTCCTGCCCACATCTTCCCTAATAGCTGTCTGCTTCCTGGGGTGCATTGAGTCCTGAGTCTGAGCCCTGCCATGGCACCGCTGGGGCATAAGCTGACTCAGGCCACCTCACCAGTCTCATTGTTTGTCCCACTTGGTAAGATGTCCCCAGCCTTCTTTGGTCCTCAGTCCAACAGGCTTTGGGAGCCTGCTAGGGACATAAATGTCAGGGTGCAATGGTGTGTTAGGTCACAGGGAGGAGCAGAGCTTGTAAGGACATGGGTGTGGTACTTCTGGCTAGTGATGTGTACAGTCTCATGCCAGTGCATGAGGCCATGTAGCCAGAGGTCCTGCCCTTTGGCATTCTCATCTTTGGCTTTTCTTCTTAGCAGATCCTCCTTTGAGCTCAATTCCTGATCCTATAGGCTCTGGAGTCTTGTCCAAGAGCCTTTGAGCACTACCCTTCCTCCTCAGGGATTCATAAGCGTTCTCTCATCGTGAAGACCATCACTGCTATGCATGTGCTTGAGGCTTCTCAGCTTGGCTCTCACCAGGAATCTTCCCTCCTTTTGCTTGCGTAAACGGCACTTTGAACAGAGCCCATCAGACACTTGACATGCAGGTAGCAGGCCTGTCAGGACGGTAGGCCTGTCCCTGCCAGTCTACTCTGATGGTCACCATGAACAGAGCCCATGCCAGCAGTCACTTGGGCAAGTACCACTGAGAGGCAGGAGCATCCTTTGGTGCCACTCCTTGGTGAAGTCATTTATCCCTTTGGAGGTCTGACTTTGTCCTCTGCCTCTGGAGAGCCTCCCACAGCTGTTCACTAAGGCCTTGGGTTTGCCTTGAAATGTGGATGGGGGAGAGCTGCATGCAGCAACAGGCGGGGGCAGTCTTCGGGGTGCTCGGTTGTCACACGTTATCAATCTATATCCCTTTCCTGCCGCAGGCAGACCATGATGTGTGTTGTTGCAAGACGTGAGAGTGTGCAGGATAGTTTTATGTCAACTTGACACAAAGTCGTCCGTTGGAGAGGAGCAAACCTCATGAGATCAGGCTGCAGGCGAGCCTGTGGGGTATTTTCTTAATTAGCTAATGATGGGGGAGGGCCCAGGCCATTGTGGTCACCTCCAGGCTGGCGGTCTTGGGTTCTATAATAAAGCAGGCTAAGCCATCCAGAGAGAGAAAGCCAATAAGCAGCACTCCTCCGCAGCCTCTGCATCAGCTCCTGCCTTCAGGATCTTTGTCCTGTTTGAATTCCTGTCCTGACTTCCTTCAGTGATGAACAGTGATTTATAAGCACAAGCCAACAAACCCTTTCCTCTCCAAGTTGCTTTGGTCATGCTTTTTCATCACAGCAATGGTAACCCTAACTAGGATGGAAGGGACACAAGTCAGGGACACCCCCTTCCTCCTAGTGCTCAGGATGTTCATTGTGCCTGTCACACCAAAGGCCAGAGTAAAACACGGAGGAAGGAGGAAAGCCTCTAGAGGCTTGGCTGACATTTTATTTTATGTTTTACTGAGTGTGGGAGTCAGTACCTAGGTAGAGTTAAGGTGGCATCCCTAAGTCCAAGCATCCTTTTTCTTCTGGGAAGAACCGAGGCACAGGGTTCCCCCTCTGGTTTTCCACCGAGGATGGGCAGAGCCACGGTATGGCTCCCTTCTGACTTTGTGTAAGCCAGGCTTCCCAGACAATGACTGCTCCAAAAGAGTTCTTGAAGCCTCGGGAGATAGACTTGTCATTCTATCTATGTCTTGTTCACATTCTGATCTGCATTTGCTATCTGAAGCAAACTGTGCTGCAAACTGTGTTTCTGTTGAACCTCGTGAATCCAGCAGGGGCCTGACCCAGTGGGATGAGACAATGTAGATGCCTGTGCTGGGGTTTACCCAGGGGAGACCATGCCCCAGGAGTGTGGTGGCTGTGTGGGGCCACACTGCCAGGTTACCTGGTATCCCTGGGGTGTGTTCTAATCTGTAGTTTGTACTGATCTCAGCAGTCATCTCTGGGACATGTAGTTGTGCCAGACTCCAGTCGCAGAGCTTGATGCTGAGTGGGAAGAATGGTCCTCTCTTGCCTATAGGGAGATGATGTTTGGAGGGCAGAGCTTTGTCTAGATGCCTTGGCCTGCTGGGCTTGCTAGGTTGGGTGGGCCTTGGACTGGGCAGCTGGGCAGTTGGGCAGCTGGGATGGGAAGTCGGGGCTGGGTGGAAGCAGCCATGGGGGCTCTGATGGAGAGTAGAGGTATGTTACTCTGCATATGCTCTGCTTCATCCATTTGTCCACAGATGCATAACCACATATAGTGCATGCCCTCGTGTCAGCTCTGTGACACCTGACAGTCACTGTGTCACGTCCACCCAGCGGAGGGAGAGGGTTTCCCATGCTCTAAGACTAACTTTGGCTTCTCCCTGGTCACACTGAATCCAAGATCTGGCTACCTACCTTACTTCTGGCACTTAGTCTCCAGCTCCTCAGTCCTGGGCTCTGGCCCCCTGAGCGTCCTTCCTGCTCAGTAGGAGTACAGTTTAGGTTGGCTTCATCTCTGGGTCCCATCCTCTTGATGTACTTTGTTTCCATCATTGGGAAAACCTTGTATGGCAAAAGTTTCTACTTTTTAAAAAAATGCTTTGTTTTCCTTATCTTTAAAAAAACAACCCTTTTTCCTGATTGTGGATTTCGAATCATGTACCCCAATCCTACTCATCTCTTGTCCCTTGCACCCGCCCTCCACCCTTGTAACCTCCCTCTCTAAAGGAAAAGAAGATAGAATTAAAAAAACCTTGTCATGGAGGCTGTAGTGTGTTATAGTGTGTCACAGTGTGTCACACAGTATACC